AAGAACACATTCTCAAAAAATCGTCATCAAAAATGTGCAAAACGGTCAAAAATGTTTTTAATCCCAGCTTACTTTGCTGCTGGGAGTAGAATGGGGACGTTAAAGGCAACGGTTGTTTTGCCACGGGTCGGCAGAATGAGACCCATGGAAAAACAAGGTCACAGGGTAGGAGCCCCATAATGGAACCTATGGGCCAAAGTTCGATCTTTCTCTGTCACTTCTAACCCCCGAAATTTCAAAGCGAAAGCAGAGCTCATCTCCTGTCCTCTCCGAACCCGCCCACCTCATGGACGAGTGACTTCCGCGGTCAGAGCGGCAGCCGCGATGCTATAAGCATGAGGTCCCGCAACGACTCTGCGTCTTCGCCATGACGGGCTTCGCGTATACTCGTCCATGGGGTGGGCGGGTTCGGAGAGGACAGGAGATGATCGCTGCTTTCGCTTTGAAATTTCGGGGGTTAGAAGTGGCAGAGAAAGATCGAACTTTGGCCCATAGGTTCCATTATGGGGGCTCCTACCCTGTGACCTTGTTTTGCCACGGGTCTCATTCTGCCGACCTACTGCCTTTAAAGCGCAAGATTCCATGAGCTAGCCCCCGAGAACGAAGCTCTCAAATATGGGGCTTAAAATTTTGCGATTTTGAGTTTGGTGCCAGAAAATCGCAGAGGGCCGCTAGCTAGCCGAAAAAAGTCTGTAGAAATTAATTACACAGCAGAAGTAAATACGCTATTTTAGCAGGCTTCGATATCCTATGGAAATACGAAAACAAAAAATTTGTGGAATTCGTCATTTTATAGGATAAATACCCTTATCGCTGTAATTTTTCCACAAACACAGTTCGCAACCAGAAATAAGGCATAGTGCCTATCTACAATCTTAAGTCGTTTTCTGGAGTGTAAAAAAGTGTTTTCGCCGAAAAACTGCGGTATTGAGGGGATTCTTTCCGCAAAATAACATTTTTCAAAAATTTTTTATTTTTGCTTCACCGTACAAGATCAAAGCCTTCCAAAATAACATATGGACTTCTGCTGTGTAAGTAATTTTTATAGATTTTTTCGGCTAGCAAGCGACACTCTGCGATTTTCGGCACCAGACTCAAAATCGCAAAATTTGAAGCCCCATATTTGAGAGCTTCGTTCTCGATGTATAGCTCATGGCATCTTGCGCTTAAACGTCCATCATGGAGCGCAATCCTTCTAATTTTTTTTAGAGAACATGATTGTGAATTTAGGTTCAGGTGTTGAAAAGTTATTGAATTTTGTTTGAATTACGCAAGAACTTTCGAGCCAACCTAATAGTAAACATTTTAGCTTGTATGGTATTGCCGGCATCCATCATGCTCAGTGATCAGGAGCTATAAAACTGAGCAAGTGCTTGTTTGTACTATTTTATGGCGGCGATTTGTTTGTACTTGTAACTGGTAAAAATTACTTGTAAAATATTTCCTTTTATGAACCCGCAAAAATCTTGAGCAACATCCCAAGATTTTGCAAACGTTTACCGCCCCATCGGGCGGACACATTGCCTGCCGCTTGCACGGTCGATTTTATTGTGTACCGATTGCGCGGCGAGATTGCTTGCCGCTTGTACGATCAAGTGATTGCTGGCCGATCGTGCGTACGCATTGCCTGCCGCTTGCACGGTCGATTTTATTGCGTGCCGATCGAACGGGAAGACTGTCTTCCGCATGCACGGCATTTTTATTGTTGACCGCACGCACGGTACATCAAAAACTATGCAGTGCGCTCAGGCGGAGGGGCTTTAATGAGGAACGCCCGCACGGCGCGAATCCCTGAGTAGTAGAGCGTTTTCGTAGGTACTTCCAGCAAATCGGAACGATTAGAAATCCCGACATTTTGTTGTTATGCTCGGTCCTTGAGCCAATTAGACTTGGCTTGGGATAACGTGATGTGTTTGTTACTCGTCTTTTATACAAAGTTTCCCAAAAAATGTGTCTGCTGTCTGATTGTTAACAACTCTCTTGTATGAAGTCTTGGAAGCTTCAGGTACCAATTTATTAGGTTGTAAAGAAACTTCTTCCAATAGACGTTGGGCCAAATTGTTTTATTTATATCTTCATCATGAGTGCTGTCAATTAGCGATATTTTGGTCATGTGTACTGATAACCTTAGAGTACTGGTTAGGTATGTTATGGATGCTCTTTTTAAAGGAGCGCGCTGGCCCTGTTTCGAAACAGGTATCAAGTTCGATTTTTTTTACCCTTGAACTCAATGAGTTAATTCTTGCTTGCAAAAATGCCCAGGTATCGGGGCAAGTAATAGTCTGATATCACTTCATCTAGCCAATATAATCCTTGGCCTTGCCTTTGATCTTTTTGACCTACCCCACAGGTATAAAAGGCGACCCTGTTACGGTGTTATCACTCTCTTCCTTCTCCAGCCCATTTCTCCCTACTGATGAGCCTCGGGAGTGGTCTAATACAGCTACCAGTCTAGGGGTAGAGGCGAAACAGGATCATTAGTGTATAAATTACTACAGGGTAAAAACGGTCTTTCAAAACAAGCTTTTGGAAGTTCTGCGCGTCCATAATTTAAAAAATGTTCCTCGCAGACCTGAGTGCAACGGAATTTTCTCCTTTTTTGGACCTTTCTTCCCAGTTAATCGTCATATTTTCGAGCTGAATAGTATTGGGTAGCTGGGGCCATCGCACACTAAGAACACATCTCAAAAAATTCCCTTGCATTCGCATTCATTCTTGGTAATTATGAAAAGAATTGGCAGAACTTTCTTTACAACCTAATATAAAGTACGAGGGGAATATACTTGGTGACCGCGGCCTTTTGCAGTGTAATGTATACCAGTAGATGCGCCTTAAAAAGCTGATTCCAAATTTATGTTCATCAACTGCTTTGTGACTCTCTGAACGAAGTTATAGACTTTTTCCTGTTTTGATTCCACGAGATCTAGGCATTCAGTATCGTCTGTGTCCAGGCTTTTCAGGCTTTGATATATCGGAGACAGTTTTTCTGAGCTTAGCGTAAAGCTTTATTCTATCTGACGCCATTTGTAGTGCGTAAGTGAACATTTTAACGATATTAGTGAATCTTGTCATCAAAACAGTGCAGATTTTCTTGGCAGATGCTCATAACTTCTTTTGGAAAAGCGCACAGCAGATATCGAAAGCAGTTTTGTAATCAGAGCTTCATGATGCATGGAATGGTTTACGTTCATTTCAAAAGGCCACGATCTTCAGGTATCCTTCCCCTGTTGGATTAGCAGTAGAGCATTTCATCCATTGCTCTTTATCGTGTAAAATTACGGCAGGAACTTTAAAGAGAGTTTCGAGCCATAAAAGGTCCCATTCTGATTCAAAAAGGAAACAAAACTGACCGAAAATTTCCACAGTAGTCGAATTAGCGTTGCTGATTTTAAATATGATGTGTGCAATACATTAAAATGCTTCTTTAAAAGTTTACGCCAGGTAAGCACTAGCAACCTTTTCTCGGTGTTGCTGAAAATGTGGTCCAGCTTTTGATAAACTTCACTATGTACAAAGTTGAGCATTAAACGCGTCTATGAGAAACCTATCGCACAATTTTCAAGAGTTTTTTAAAATTGTTTGAAATTGGACTTTTCACAGTGACGCCATATGTCGGAGATTTCTACACTAATCCTACATTAATGAAAAGCGATCGATGATCCGCTCCATGCTGTAAATTTGTTTGAAGCCAGCTTTAGAAAAAGGTACCAAAGCTTTTCAAAAGAGTTCATAAAAAGAGAGTTTCAATTAAACAGTAGGCACATTTTTTGTGACACCTTGTATAATGAAGGAAGCCTTATGTGGGATTGAATGATTGAATGAATGAATGTTGATCTATGAAGATACACACCCAGGGCCCGGCGGGGGTGGCGCTTTCACAAGCTGGATATCGTTTTTGGCCCGAAAAAGCAAAGGGGAAGTCGTATTTTGGGAATACGACTTCCCCTTTGTTTACCGATAAACAATGCACATATCATTCTTTATTCATCATTCCTTGTTGATCCTACTGTCCTATGAACTTAGATTCCAGCAATGTGAAGACTCTGTGCTCCGATCGCTAGCCTGCCCGCAGGCGGGAATTCAAATCGCAATTCTTGTAAGAGGAAAATAACAAAATAGGCTCGTTTTTAATGCACAAGTAACTATATGGCACCAAATTTGCTGTGTAGTTGGAGGACCATGAGCACAAAAAAAGTATGAAGAATTATGAGAAACTTAGGTGAATTTAAAAAATGGTAAGTGTTTTCCGAAATTAGGTGGCTCCCGCGCCACCTGGGAGCCACCTGGGATGGCTCCCTGCTTCCCTTCACATAATTTCCCGGATTTCTTTACTTAAATGTGGACTAGGTCGAGAGTATTACTATATGTTCAAATCCGCCTTAAAACCACCAAGGCACCGCTTCGATACAGCCCCAAATAGGGTTCACAGCGTTATGATCGGCCTCGGAAAGCGCGCTCCAATCACAATCGGTTATTGTAAATTGTAAAGTTTCGCAGCTGACTAATAAATGAGTAGTATCTTAGATATATAAACGTCAAAGTTTGTGCAAATCTTGACCCTATGTTTTTTTTATAGATTCCTCTGCGGATGAACCCATTGAGCTGAAACCTTGATGACCCGGGCTGGACCAGGAAAGCCAGGTAGTACTACTATAATATGCGCTGAGGCCGCCCATCTTATTATTTGTTATATCTGTTTGTCAGGGACTTACGGGGGTCAAAAATAGGGTCAAAGGAAAAGTCGTAAGAAATTTTGGCTTCAAAGGGGATATCGTTTTCAAAATTCTGAAATGCCACCTCCGGCCGGGCCCTGTACACACCTAGTTGTGCCTCCATTTTGTGCAGCTAAAATTTGAGCAGCGAAGTGATCTCAGAATTCGCGTCACTGAGTACGATGAAGCATAACCTAAAATTCGGCGCTTCGTTAGCCGCAAAGCTCAAATTAACTTTCGATCTCTGATCTCAAGTGCTAGCTCGCTTGTATCACCACTGTTCCACGTAACATTCTTCCATCTTTATTCGCCCCAGAACATCGAAAAAACAGCAAGAAAACAGTAAAACGAAACCTATGTATGCAATTCGACAAACTAGAAGCAGCAAACGGATTTGCATACACATAAGTGTGTGAGAAATATGACGCACAAGTTGATCGCAACAATTAGGAAAATCTAGGAGTGCTACAGAATGTATTTGAATCAGACCGCTTAGCTGAGATAGGCAAGGAGAACCCAAAGAAATCACAAATTGGCCATTTTAAGAGCTTTCTACCATCCTGATAATGGCCCACAGTACGCCAATAAATCGCTCACATTGCAACCAACATCACAACATATCGTTTGCAATTGACGAATTGATGGAGCAATTAGAGCACGCTTCCCTGAAAAGAAATGGTAGGATTCGCGATCAAATCTGTCATCTATATATCTATCCTACTATAATAACGCGCTAAGGCCGTCTGTTTTTTTGTGTGTGTGTCTGTCTGTAAATCTGTCTGTCACGAAATTCATAGAGTAAGCTGCAACTAAGCTATCGGGCTGCAATTTTGCACAACATACCGTGCCAGCGTGTAGGCTCACCATGCACAAAGACGAACCAATTCGATAAGCGGGTCCTTCAAAAATTGCGCCTCAAGCGGGTCCACCTGGCTTTTGCTGCGCAAAGCTAGGTCACAAATTCAACTTTTTGCAAAGTGCTGATTTGCCTGACAAGCAAATCTGCGCTCCAAAAATTCCAGCTCAAAAAGTGCTCTAAAAGTTTGCTTTTCCGCGAAAACAGCGCCAAAAAGTAGTGATCGCGTAGAGAGTCGATTTGACAAGGTTTTACATAAATATCTGACAAGATTTTTGCATGAAAATGTAGCCCAAAATGACTATTATCTTTATAACAATTATCAAGCCAAAATAAATTCAATAATCTGTTCGAATTCGTATTTATTCCTTGGCAAAAAAGTTTTCTTTCTCAAATTGCCGATCTTACATGGAGATGCTTCAAGAATGAACAGTTGTTTACAATTCATTTATGATGTACAGCATCGCGCGGTGAGTTTCAAAGTCATCATTTTGGGAGCATGAATAAGGCATACGGATAACAGAGCCAGTGCGAACCTCCGCGAAGCGGAGGTGACGCACTGGTAACTTATAATAACGGGCTAAGGGTGTTTACGTGTTTTTGTGTGTCTGTGTGTAAGTTTGTCTGTCTGTCACGAAATTCGTAGAACATGTTGCAGCCAACCTCCTGAGCCCAAATTTTGCACAGCGCCTGCTACCAACATGAGACTCTACTACACAAAATTACGAGCCGATCCGTTGTGTGGATCCCTCAAAAAACGCGCGTCAACCGGATCCACTTGGCTTTTGGCCAGTAAAATTGAGTCTGTAGCGCAACTTTTTGCAAATTCAAGGATACGTTTGACAAGTTAATGTGCAAGCCATGGTCTTTAGCCTAAAAAATTGAACTAAAGTTTATTACTTTGCGAAAACGGCGCCAAAAAGAATTGGTTGCGTAAATGTTCAATTTGCCAAGATTCTACCCAATCTTTTGAGAAGATTTTTGCACAGATATGTAGCCCACGGCGATTATGGCATCTTATCGCGAATATCAAGCCATGAAAAGTCCAAAAACCGATTCAAATTTGCATTTGTTCTCTCGAGAAAAGTTTCGTTCATGCGAAATTACCGATCTCATATGGAAAAGCTTTTGGAATGATTAGTTGTTTACAAATCATTTGTGATAGTCCGCATAGCGCGGTGAGTTCCAATGTCATTATTGTGCGAGAATGAGTAAGGCATATAGATAGTAGGGCCAGTGCGAGCCTCTGCGAAGCAGAGGTCAAGTACTGGTATATGAATAAAACCCAAAATACTCGGTTTGGAGATTACGTGCGTTACAAAATAGCGCCGCTTAACCAGTTGGGCTGAAATTTTGCACGCTCATACATATTTCCGACCTCTGCGCACATGGGAGACAACTTTTCAGGGCAATTCGTTGGGTCCTTTTATCAATTTATTGATTTGTTTTCGTTTCCAGGGAAATGAGCGCTTGTCATATTTCGACCAAGCATCTCATAGTCATGTAACGAGGATGGTAAATTTCCTTTCCACCTCAGGATTATGAAAATACGGTATCGAAGTGGATGTCACATGGTAAGTCATCCATAATATGGAAGAGGGGGGGGAGGCATTCGCAGTGCAGTAATCTTGCTGACAACCTATAGCATCTATCCCACAGCCAGTGAACAATGGTCCGGACTGGACCGGGATGGTCAGCTAGCAGCGAACATAAGCCAAAGCTCTTACGGATAAAAGTTGGCTATGACATTGTTTGGTATCGCATGGTGGTGATAGCAATGGCTCTACTACTCTCATGTCGCTGAGGGTTAAGGTAAAAGCGGATACTTTCAGAATTTGCCATGAAATTTCATTTGTGCTATTGAAATTACTTGTGAAAGGTCAAGGCTATGAAATTTGACTTTTTATTTATGACAATAATATGACGATGAAGAACTTCACCGCTACCACAACTATTTCTAGCGGATACATTACATTTATAGAGTTTGTGTAAAGATGGGAGCACCTAATCAGAGGTTCTTGGGTTTTTTTTTGTTGTATAAGAGGGTGCACGTATCGAACAACACTTCCAAAAAAGAAAGGAATTGTCCATTTTTGGTTGCGCACAAATCCCCAGATTTGCGGGGGGATGGGGGAGGTTTATTCTTTGTTCATACAGTCCACCAATCAAAAACGGCAGCCGTTGTTTTCTCTTCAAAAGGATGCGATCAGTCATGATTGATTGTGTATGAAGAAAAAATTGCGCCTCCAAGGAGCCGGTATCGCAACTGGCACTTTTATGTAGTCTCTTTTGAATTCTAGATTCCCATGTGCGGCTCCCACCGGCTTTTGTGGAACAGCCCAGACTTCATATGAAAGTACAGGTGGATAACGGGGCAAGCTGGATATCGTTTTTGGGACAAAGCAAAGGGGATATCGTTTTTGTCGACAAATTGCGACGTTTTTTTTAATCGACGTTTCGATTTTTTGGGTTTTTTAGGTTTAGGGCTTGGGGTCAAGGGGGACTTCGAAAAATTTAGCGAAAATCAAGGGGAACTTCGTTTTCAAATGCCTGGTGCCAGCTCGTGCCGAGCCCTGGTAAATACATAGATATTGGAGTAGATTTTTCTTGCACTTTTGAACCTTTTGTTTCTACACTATAAAAATACTACCTAAAGTCATTTTGACGAAGAGAGAATAACCTGATTGTTTCCTGCAATAGTTTCCAACCACCTTGTGATGATATCTTCCCTCTTGAAAAAATCCTCATTCACCTATTTGTCGGAATATTCTACTCATTTATATACGATTTCCGCCTCTGCTTGTACAAGAAAACTGAAGCCTACGCTCAAAAATACGTCCTTAATCTCAAAAAGTGCGTTCCATACGTTTCATTTCTTAATGGAAGAGTAGGAGTCTTACCCTCTTCAGAATTCTTTACAGTTGAAAGCGTAAAAAGTCAAGTAAAATGTCGCTACTGCATATTTCAGTGCTTACCGTGTCAGGGAAGCCCTACGGCAGCAATAATTTTTAGAGGACATACATTTACTCTAGAGCACCTCACAAGAGCGGAACGAAAGTTTAGGCTTGAAGTATGGAAATTTTTTTTCCTACATGGTTAATTTTGCATTACACGAAAGGTTTATTGCTATCATTTTTGAACAGGATGACAATTAGAAAAAGTCGTGACGTCACAATCAAAATCCTATTGGAAACAAGTAGAGCTTCTCTTATGGCTTCATGTGTAAGCCTAAACTGGATGAGAAGAGCAGTGGTCTGCGAAATTAAATTAGACTTTAAGGAGAACTGCTTTTATCAGAACTCCTTTAAACTAACACATTTACCTAGTACCCATATCAGCAGCGATAAGATTTATAACCTCAAAACGCTCAATGATTTCCAGTCCTACCTCGACGTGCTGAGAGACACCATCGAGGTAGGACTGGAAAAACTATTCACGATCTGAAAAACAGATAGAAAAGAATCTGATTTGAAGAATGTTCTTGAATTATAACCAAGAGAGCGTGATATTTGTTTTGTCTGTCCGTAGATTCTACATGCCCATGATCCCGTAAGCTAGATACCAACTACGATTTTGTCTCTCAGGACATTTATATCAGGTTGTTTAACTCCCATTCTTGATTATCAAAAGCCACAAAGTTTATTCTACATTGAGTTAAAAATTAAAATTTAAAAACTACTAAAAACCCAAGAACTCGAAAAAATTCAGAAACTTTAAAAAAATTCCTAGGAACCTCTAACTTATTCGCGCAACCCCACACTAACATTCGTACGCACAATTGCCGTGTTTTTTCCATTGTTAAAAATCGGGAAAACGAAGTTTGGGGTGTTTTCTGCGATGCTGAACTGCTTCCATCTAGGTACCTAATTCTATAGTTTAGCGTTTTGAAGTTTAAGCACAGGTTTTTAAACTTCTATAATCGATAGTTTTCCATATTTTCGAGATTTGCATGAGAAACGAAAAAGCAACATTTCCGTATATTCGGACTATTTCTTTCTCAGTTTTTAGCACTCAAAAAGTTCAGCAAATGTGCATAAGAACATTGGATGAAGAGTGTATGTACGTAAACATATTAGAAATTCCTAGATATTCTTTGAGCAGAGTTCTAAATTTTTTCGATTTTTCAAGCTGGAAAGGTTTTCGGACCTGATTTTTGACTCAAGGTGACACTATTGTGCAAAAGTTTGGACGCCACTTTGCAGAACCTTTGCTCGACGAAGGATATCCTAGACCATTTCTAGGAGTCGAGGAAATGGAGTTATAGGGATGAAGAAAATGGACGAGACTTATGGGACAACATATTTCCACTCTTTCACCCCCATTCTGGGTCCCATCCCTGATTATTCGTTCTAACGCGTGGTCTTTGTCATCTAGTTTGCACCCATCGAGGGGATGGATGCTGATACCATGAAATTCGCACGGATAATTCTGGAAAAAAGCAAATGTCTTACAGAATCGTTTTTTCTGTGTGACATCCCGCTTTCGCCGCATTGTGCACGCCATTGACCAAGCCATAGTGAAGCTGCTACCACCTGGCGGACACATTCGCAGACGGCCATCTGAAAAGATAAGATTAAGGATCAGCAGAGATGGGAACGATTGTAAAGTGTTCTTGCTGAACCCTCTGTTTACTGCTCCATGATATCATTTCATCCGGAATAACTGAGCAATGACGAAGATATAATTGCTGTTTTCATTATGGGGTTGGTACGGAGTGTCTGTTGATGTGGATCAGACAAACTTATGAAAAAAACAAAACTGTGTCGAATGACTTGCATATTAATCAAAATAGTCTGCTCCCAAGTCTGAACAAAAAACAAAGAAACTGAGGACTAATGGTCTTTAACCTCCACTAATTCTCTCAGATTTCACAATTCCATTTCATGGCTCTTCCGACCATGCTGAACATCATCAAAAAATTTTTTCACTATGAACGAGTTCTGGACGGACTCAATTCTGCATTATATGTATAAGCTCAAAGCTTTCTTATTTTCAACCCAAAAACTTTTACATAGACTCGACCAAGGTCACATTTTTCTGCAGTGTCTGCTTGAAACCTGTGCCCCTCACTTTTTTACCATCATTTTTTGTAGTGTTTTTCTTCACTTTTTCATTTTATAGTGTGGTGTCATAATGTTGGCTAATGTTCGGTTTTTACTTCTGTGGCACGACTCAAAGCGCACGGGATAAATGATCAACCAACTACTCTAAAATATTAGAGATTAGAGATAGGGCCTCCCCGCAGATAAGTCTGTCTGAAGATGAGCCTGACTTATCTGACAGTTTTCCAACTCAAAATTTTGTGGTTGGTAAATGGAAAAAAGGACTATGCAGGTCAGACTTAAGTGTGTCTAAAAGTCTGTAAGAAGGGTAGATAAGTATGTAACCAATCAAAAGCACACAAAGGGTAGCCATGGACCCCACGCAATATTTAAATTCCTAAATAAAGCTGTAGCTTTCGAAGACATTGGAAAAGAAAAAGAAAGAACACTAGTCTAAGGTACAAGCTACAATATATACAGCTATCTAACTTTCATAACTAAGTTCGTACGAAAACTTGATTTTTAAAATATCAGTGCAAGTAGCAAAGATGACTTTGAAAAAATTATTTTTTGACGCTAATTAGGAAATACTCGATCAGCACAGGCTCCCTTCATTTAGAAAAGGTTCACTGAGTCTATTTGCTGACATCATAACATTTTAGTGCAAATTGCGAAATTCAAGTAGTTTTCTTTTTTCGTTTCTAGCCTGTGTTCGCTAGTTGCTCGGCAGGAAACCTCATAGAAATGTCTTCCTTTCTAGCAAAATTGTTGCCAATCAAATCTATCAAGAAGGACAGAAATTTTTCGTTAACTAATATATTCTTCTACTAAATCAAGTCCCTAATGAATAAACATTAGCAATGTGACGGATATGATGATACAGATGAGTAGCTTTAGAGTGCAGTACTCCCCACTCTTTCCTAGTCCTTTTCACTTAATTTATTTTGATACATTCCGCAAAAATCAATATGACGAAGGCAGGAAAATTCGGCACATGCAAAACTCATTGCCAATTCCTTTCTGGAAGAAACCAAAGATCCGTTGCTAGGAGCTAGTTTGGGCTTCGTCCTGAAACGGCTTTCTTCTTGCCAATGCTCACGTTTTTTGTACCTACAAATTTAATCTGCTGAGTAACTACGTATTTGTTATAGACAAACACTATCACATCATTGTGTTTTTCTAACTTCTCGAGTTTCGTTTTTTTTGTCTGGAAGACAGGATACGATTTCTATGATTAGAGATTAACATGCTGGGCTTCGCCAGCCTCGGGAATAGATCTACATTAAGCATATCAGATCTCTTACATACACAAGGTTGCCTGTGAAATCCCTTAAAAAATGAACTAGGGTGGGTGGGGGTGGTCAAATCCACCGTCATTTTGGTCTCGTATGTTTGCCAAATTCGTAAGTGTTACATGTCTGTGAAAAAAAAAACTTTGTGGGTTCTTGTGTCCTTCAAATTATTTATTCTATGCAGATAACCTCTACAATATCACAAACTTGTTAGTGAACCGAGTAGGTTGAAAATTTTTGCTGAAAACACACAGACAATGGCTTTTTGAGCAAGGCTGAAAAAAAAACCAGGATTAGTCAGGCACGAAAATGTCTCATCGAATGCTAACCGACATAAAACGAGATTACCTTTCATCACCATTTCGACTAGCAAGAGATTCACAAAATAGAGAAAAAAGCACTTGTCTTTGCCGAAAGATGTAAAAATGTATATGCTTTCTTTCGAGCTAAGATGGCTCAACAAACGTGTTCTGTGAAGAATTCCTATAACAGAATATCTTGATACTCTTGCGAGCTAGCACGCAGTCTTTTTTTGAAAACTTTGCTCTGTGAATTCAACCAAAATTAGTGAGAGCAATCAGAATAATAACAGAATGCCCTAAGCAATTTTTTTTGATATTTTGAACTACTTTGAGTGAAATTTGCTAGAAACACAAAGACTATTCTAATGTCTCTGAGAATTCTGCTAAAAAAACTTCTTCTGCTCCTTCTGTCCTTGTCTTTCTGCTAAGAGAAATTTGAAGAAGCCCTTCTGTTACGAAATTTTGCTAAAATCGCTCTAACATTTTTACGGGCGAAATTTAATTCGCGTTAGTGTAGAATATTTCACACGATCTTAAATAGGTATCGTTTGTATACAATTCTTTTTTAGCTAGATTATAATCAAACAAAGCCGAAGAAGCAAGAGGCTCTTCTTGGTGACAGTTTTAAAGTTGGTTCTCATAGATATCCATTACCACTATTGCCAAGAGTTCTTCAAAATGCTCATGCTAGCGTGAGAACTGCCGCCGAGTTGTACAATTGGCACCCATGTAAGTGAAACTGACTGGTAAACAATAGTTCGTGAACGACATGTGAATAGATTAGCGAACCTTGTTGAAGTTGTGTGATAAGCATACGAAAATGTACTAATTGATGATAATATTTCGAATACTCTGTTTCTGAGCAGGAAAGAAGTTCTCATAGGCCCTACTGATTGACCTCTACTTTGTATGATTAAAATTTTGTTTGGACTTTACAAATTGTGACTCTAATGCAGCTTTGTGAACGCATGCCACTTTATTGAGCGGGTTTCAATTTTCGGATTATTTGATCAACATTTTCAAATTTAGAGGTGCAGTACCCTTTGAGCTCTTGCAACACCAGTACAGCTATTGCTAAAGTCTACAGATTAAAAAAGCCATAGAATTACTTACTTTTGCTCGTTGTTTGCAAAAACTTATCCATTTGCGGCCGCCAAAGTAAAAATATGCTCTCGCGCGATCAAAATAAGAAGGAATTTTGTAAATTTTCAGACTAAGTTGCGCTTTGGCTTAATGCTATTCAAAATCTGAGCTGTTTAACCAGAATCAAAGATACATGAGGACAGAAAGATGGAAGAACTGGTTCCTTTGGTGCGCGTTCAAGCTGTCTTCCGCTAGGTCTAACCGCCTCGCATGCCTCTCGCGCCCTTGCGCTGCCTTTGGCGCGTCCTGTCTAAATCTAAAGCTTCCTGCTTCTACATCAAAACGCCACTGACAGCAAATAGGCTCGATTGCAATGTACATAGGGGAGGAATTTCCGGAACTATAGTGTAGTTCTACTAGATGCGTCACTGACATATCAAAAAAAACATTTACCTTGGCTCAACAAGAGTCAATCATCTCATCCTCCACAAAGCAAAGTTCCTACCTTCAAATTCATAGATAAAAACTATCCCTCTTTTTACAAATGGTAGCTCACTCAGTAGGCATTTGACTGTTTTTAAACAATAATTGAATGAATCTACCAAATAAGCAACTATTCATGGATATCTGTAAATGCGGAAGATACTCAATAGTTTTGATCTACTCGAAGAGTTGCCGCTTTGCAGCTAAATTTGCACTGATTGCAAATTTTAGTTGCACACTAACCATGCACGCAATCAGTTCTTGAATGGTGAAGTAATGATGAAGCAATAGAGGTAGATTGCTCATATAGGAAACAAGCTTTCAATCTCACTGAGACTCGTTCAATGATATGCGACCGGTACCGTCAGTAGGAATGTGATCGTGCAAAAGCTTTCTCTGTTTTTGATTAATAGCGAAAACGTAGCAAGTAAGTTTACGAAGAATTCAAAGACTTCTTGGACCTAGACTGCAGCTCTAGTAGATGTGTTACTTACGTACTACTTGCGTTGCTTAAGGGCCGGGCATACTTCACGCGATTTCAGTCGCTACGCGATTTGGCAATATTCCAACTGTCCATAACTCAGTGTAGGCACATTTTGAATGTACAAAAGATAGGGCCTTTTGATCAATCTACGTAAGTTACACATACTATGCATGTGCAATTTGCTAGTGTTGGATCCGAAGAGTTATGGCAAATTGCCAAATCGCGTCGCGACTGAAGTCGCGTGAAGTATGCCCGACCCTTTACTTCTCCTCTACCACAGCGAAGTTTCAGCTAAAACCATAGCATTATTTTCATTTTTTCATTTTCATTCATGCGCATATGTGCGCCAACAAGAAACCAAATTGAAACCAAAACAGGAAATGCATAGAAAAATAAACAAACATAAATCACACATTGAAAAGGAGGAAAATAGAACGAGCACCCACACAAGACCACAAGCTCACACTAACCTCATCCAAAGCTACATATACCTCCCCTTTTTTCCATAAAACCGTAAGGATTAGTGCCAATCAAACGAGAACATCACGCTAACCTAGAACAAGAGGGAAACTTAGGCGAATGGGCCAAACCGTGCGTACCTCGGTAGAAAGTCCCTCTCCCAGCCCCAAGGCGATTACTTTAACTCTTTTTCATTCATAATGAGCAGCTCATGTAGGTTGCGAGGGACAGGTTTAGAATTTATTTTGCAGCGTTTTAGATTTTTGATGATCTGTTCTTTGAAGTCGGAAGTTTTAGTGGTTCCTTCACACTTTTTCTTCTCAACTCTGAAAAATCCAGAAGATCCCCAAAACCTTCAAATCTGCTCTATATGCAGGACACGACAGGGGTACTTGACAGCATGACGAACTCCTCAAATGTATAAAATGTCACACTTTTGTAAACACCGTTGAAATTTTCATTTTTCTCAGAATTTTTTCTGCGTTTATCCGTTTTTTCTCTCGTATGGTTTTTAGACTGTATTTAACAATGCCGCTTTTATGACAGCACTTTGTGCCGCTAGCGTTTCAAAACGAGGGGTGAAAAATACATTAGGAAAATTTTGATTTTTTCTTTTGGTGTGCATCCTGTAAGAAACAGAAACGAAAAGGAATAAAAAATATAGTGAAATACCATGAGAGACCCGACTCAAAACTGTTCTTCACCTTGTTGACTTTTTTAGGAGAGCAACTCGGGCAGAAGCTATAACAAGCGGAAAATAACAATGGTAAGAAAGCTCACAAAAAACTTCTAGAGTCTACGAAATTTTCCATATCTGCAGCAATCTGGAAATTGACAAACTTTTCTGCAACTTACTCATTCATATTAAATCAAATCTAACCTGCAACTACGCGGCAGAGCAAAACATGACTTCAGTGAGGCATAATTATGCTAAAAGAATAAATGAAACCAAAATTCGCTCATGTTAAGAATGAATACTTGGAACAAAATAAAACCTCTAAAAAGCATCAGTTGAAGTATTATAAACATATAATTAAAATTAAAGATTTTAATCAACATTACTTTGAATCCAAACATCACCGATTCACATTATTTCGGAGGGCTTCAGCGTATGATAAAATGGCACAAAAAATCTCGATTCAGATGAGGAACTAATGTATTACTGACTTAGAGGGAAATACTTACATCGTCAAACGTCAGGCGCAACCAGAATTTGTGGCATTACTTTTATGACAGCTTTTCTGCGATGAAATCTGTTCTTCCATTAGGGTTCCGATATTCGAATTCGAAAGACAGATTTGGAAAAAATTCATGACTAGAGGTAAGCAAAAAGTCGAAATTATCACTTAGATTTCTTGAAAGAATTCCTGGACGAACGAGTGGTAATTTGGTAATGTGCTGAAACCTAAGAGAGACAAGTTTTTGGCCAGAACCCAGTGTTTTGAGGAGAAGGAAAATTCGTTTGTTGGCGCACGTGAATTATATTAGGTTGAACCGAAAGTTCTGTCGCACCATTTTCAAAAAATCATAACTTCTTTGCCTCACAACAATTTTGCGCAGATCAAATTTTTTTAGAAAGCGCAAAGTATGTAGTTTCCAAAACTCCTCTGGTGACTTTTTAAAATGCTCAGGTTGCAGAGATAAAAATGAAAGAACGAGATTATCGAAAATTCGGAATTTTTAAGCAAGAATTCTAAAAATTTAGAAAGTGTGCGATAAAGTCCAGAACAGCCATCGGCCTAAGATTTCTTATATTTTAGTACTATCTGAGTCAAGTTTGTATTGATTGAACTTTTATTTCAAAAGTTATGAATGTTTGAAAAAAAACCAAAAAATCAATTTCTTAAGAATTCTTAGGAAATCGATTTTTCGGCTTTTTTTTCAAAAAATCATAACTTTTGAAATAAGAGTTCAATCAACACAAACTTGACTCAGATAGTACTAAAATATAAGAAATCTTAGGCCGATGGCTGTTCTGGACTTTATCGCACACTTTCTAAATTTTTAGAATTCTTGCTTAAAAATTCCGAATTTCGGATGATCTCGTTCTTTCACTTTTTATCTCTGCAACCTGTGGAAATGGTGCGACAGAACTGTCGGTTCAACCTAATATATCAGTCCAAACCTAAAGTTCCGTAGCTTTGATTTTGAAAAACTAAAAAAAATTAAAAGAGTAGTTCACTGCCACCTTGCGAACGTATTCGCTTACAGTAACACCAGAAAGAAACAATCATTTACTTTTCAAAAACATCTTTGAGGATCTTTGGACAAGGAACTCTTTTGCTCGGTTAGAATGAGAAAGTGAAAACTCATGCCATTGCATGTTTCGCCTTTCATTGCAAGTTATTTTCGAATTTTTTGACAGATTTGCCTAGATCATCAAACCTGGTGGTTACCTTTTTCCATTTTTGTCTCTGCTATTACAGCCTATTAGAGATCAAGCAAGGTGTCATTAGAAAGTACATATTCTGCTCCTTTCAACTGAATTAATGCCATGCAAGATTATCGTGATAGACAATTAGGTTTTTTTAGAAAATGATGCAACAAAAAACTTTGGTTTAACCTAATAACAAAATGTGATCCTGTTTCTCCTTCTTTCTCCACACCCCTCCGAAATGAAGACTTATTTCTAGGTATACTGCCTCTTAGTCCAAAATGAGAAAAAACTCATTTGGCCTCTTGATTCCTCAGCTGCGCCTTCTTGAGCTTTATGACGTGGGTTAGCCCTCTAATGTTGCACATACCGGATATTCGCTGCTAGGGAACCAATTTTCGGGTAAGCTCTGGGGTGGAATTTTTAAGCAGTTGATCTACTGATCTCAGTCCGTTCCTGGGTAACCGATTTTCTCTACTTCAAATTTTTTTCTTCTCCCGAGAAAGTTATTTTCTTTGACAACCCAGTCACTCACGATTGTTTTCATGTCTTTTTTCCATCTCATAAAGTAGTTAATTGTCCTAATGACATGAGTAACGGCGTAACCGTAGCTATTCCTGTGCAGCAAGTCATCAAAGAGAGATCTATGGCTGCAAGAAGCAGGAAAGGAAACCAGTAGACTTGATCTGACTAAGTCATTGAACTGCGGTTCATTCTTGTCTATTTTTATCAACAAAATAGCAAAATCCTCGCGTTCCTCAATTGGATGACTGGAAGATGTGTTAATGCACAGATTCAAGATGAGGATTTCCATTAAGAACAAGACATCAAGACAATCGGATTGGCAAATGCATTTTGGTGCAGTTTCTCACACGTACTTATGAGATTAGAAAAAGAGCAAGATAGCTACAGCTGCGAAAAGTGTTTTCCTAATTTTGATATGCAAAGTCGAGGTGCTGAAAGTTTAAAGTGCAGATCACGACATTGTGACGAAGATAGTGCCGGGTAGGTTTCAGCATTGGAGATTTACCAGTGTAACAATGTATGACAAACAAAAGGTATTTTGAAATGTTACTCTAATTTTGTCAAAAATGGACTCCAGTAACCGTGCCGTTTAGTGTGAAGTGTATACCGGAGCTATACCTCTAAATGCCGTTTTGAAATCTTCCTCAAATTGAATTGTATCCGTTTTTTAAAGGGCAGATTACATCATTTTTTAGTTGCATTATGTGCAAGATTTCTTGTTCCACTAGTAAATTGGTTTTTATAAGAAATAAGAAATAAAAGATAAAAAACAATTCAAGAGGTGGATTGTCTCTTACGAACCTCGGCATGGCGTAGATATTGTAGTTGTTTATGTAAGCCGCACTCGAAATTGGTAAAAATTATTTATTGCCTGGCTGACGTTTCCGCAGATCGCCTTCTTCAGAGCCTAGATTGAGCAAAACGATCTGCAACCTTTCCGATCAAGCGTTGATCGGATAGGTTGATCGGATAGGTTGCAGATCGTTTTGCTCATTCCAGGCTCTGAAGAAGGCGATCTGCCGAAACGTCAGCCACGCAATAAATAATTGTTACCAATCTCGAGTGCGGCTTACATAAACAACTACAATTCAAGAGGTCTTAAGCATGTATTTAGTTGATCAGTTTAGTAAAGCAGTAGCTTGGTATGGGTATTGTTTCGTAGTACGGAAGGATGAAAACCAAAGCAATTGATTTCTATTATTTTCTAAGCATACAAATTTCATTAGAGAAACTCTCAGGATTTCTCCAAGATAAGCTAGGACGATGTGAAATTGACGTTCACTTGAAAATTGCGGTGTACAAATTTCGAATGGTTATAGTTAAAAATCCTCCATTTAAACTACAAATAGCGCATTCAACCACATCAATCAACTCCTTTCTTCGAATATTCGAAGAAAAACACTTGGAAATTGACTGCTTTCGAATGGTGTCAAAAATGTAGAAAAACTAAAAAAGCTTGAAGTTGTCAATCATTTGGCGAGAGATTATGCCTGCTGAAGATTCATATAAGTGTCGAGATGTGTCATTTTGTTGGGCTTTATGACATTGAATGGATGTAGTCAAAACTCTGCAGTAATGAAGCTGAACTCAGTGAAAGAGGAGATTTTTGGCACAAAACCAGAGTAGGGTCACAGAACCACGGCGATGTATTTAACCGGAAATTTTAAGAATGAAGAGTAGCACGAAAGCACTATCTGACATAAGTGTAAAGTACAAACCTTCTGCTGCCAAAGTATGCGGGTAGAATGAGAGTACGGTAACGGCAATGGCAAGCAGAGAATAGGCAAAAGTCGTGCGCATCACGCCGTATCAGTGTGTAATCCGAAGGCGGAGTCAACCGCCGTCGGCATCAGATCTTGGCAGGGGCGGAGCGCGAACGAGTTGTGTTAGCTGGTGTGAATGGAAACGCATAGTCATATCTGGTATGACTGAACTGTGAATTCCACAGAGGTCGAAACGCCCACCAATTGACGCTTGGGAACAACTTTTAGCTTTTTAGGATCTTGCGTATTCCCACGGGTGAGATGAGAAAGAGCATCCAAGGAAAAAGTGCCCCATAGGAAATGCATGTGGCATCCTTTCATTAGCAGACTTGGAACTGCACCGTTAATAATAGCGTAAGTGATATACGGCTAACCCTTTTTTATTTTTGCGGTATAAATACGAGTAAGCAAGTAAAAGGTAGTTAAGGTTTTGGCCCCACTAAAATTACCAAGTTGATGAGCATAAAGCGTATTTCGAATGAGACCTTGCCTATTGCCTTTCTAGCAAATTCTTCACATCAAAAAACCCAAAAAATTGCTTAGGTCATTCAGTTATTATTCAGATTGTTCTCACCGAATTTTGGTCGAATTCACATAGCAGAGTTCCCAAAAAAAACTACATGCTAGCTCGCAAGAGTCAAGAAATTTTGCTCTAGGCATTCCTCACAATATAATTCTGGACCCTTTCTGACTTATGAATTCTGAGCCTGAGAAGAAAATCTAGACCTATAAAAGGGGCGTAAATTTTTCCAGTGCCAAAAAATTTCTTCCAATTAAATTGTTACCCTTCTTCCAGTCTCTGTTTACTTGCCCTGATTTGTTTCAGTTCTTATTTTCGGGGAGGGTAACAATGTCCCTAGAACACATTCATCATTTACGAGTGCGAAGCTTGCCCTAGTTCGTGATCATATTTCACCATCAAACAAACCATTTTGTATGACCTGTCAACAATACATTTCTAAGCTTCTTTTTACTGGAACAGTTAGCATGCTTGTGGTACCGATAAAAGGGCCATGAAAAGCAAATTCCAAGTTTTGCAGGCTTTGCCATTTTTCACTGGAAAAAGTTGTCAGCACCACAAAAGCACAACATCAATCACCAATCTATCAGACTACACATAACTCCTAAATCTTTCTCCCTTTCCTACTCTCACTAACCAACGAATCTGTTTGACCATAGCAGAATGTCCAGTAGCGTTGCTCACTCCTCTCTTCCGTAATTTTCTCACTAGCCCACTACTTCGTATTTGTCCTAGCGTGAGTCAAAAATGGGCGCAGATAAAAACAAAATTGCCTATCTTTGCATCCATAAGTCATACGCGGAAGAAGATATGACAAACATCCAGCTGTATCTGGGAAATCTAAGGTTATGTTATTGGGTGTTTCTTCTGACTCGGCTTTTTTTTTAGATTTTGAAAGAAATTACCATTATCAGACCTTTGGAATTGCATGCTTTGAGCAGATGGACTTGACACGCTGAGCTTTGAGCTGTTAATAAGGTCCCTTGAGAAAACTTTGCTAACTTACCCTTATCAACCTGGCTCTTTTAATGAGCTGACTGAGCGATGACTTTTGCGCTTTCAAGCAATTCTGAAAAAAATTGGATGAAATGCATAGCGAGGCTAAAAAAAGTCCATCGGGATTTACAAGAGGAAAAACCTTCAACGCTCAAAAAGAATCACGAAAATTTTTTTGTTGAATTTGTCCTTCAAATCCCTATCTAGGCTTTTTCAAGTTGATGTTTGATAAAATCGTATTATTAAACAATGGTTATTATAATAAATAGTCTGGTCATTCATACAACAATTTATTATTTCAAAAAATTGTAGGTGTTTTGAACAAAGAGGACCACACATCTTATATTGCTGCAGTTCTATTGGAATAAAAAACAGAATTCCGCAAATGGTCGGAAACATTGTGGTTGGAGATTATGCAATTCCCAAAAAACAAACTAATAGTTAGTCCCAGAACTTCCATTTGAGGGGAGAGGGGGGGGGGGACGTGATGAAAATTTTCTGGGACTGATCCCAAAATTTTTGCAGGGCCCATAACCCCGAGCGTCCCCGAGAAAAATTTTTTATGAAGCTAATTTGTATTTTTGAAAATTTAGAAATTTAATTTGATTAATTACAAGTAAAAACAAGCCGTTTGCACATTTTTACAACCCATGTTAGTAAGTTTCAAGTATTTCGCCACCAATTCTCGAGTGAAGAACCCTCCCCCCCCCCCCCTCTTTCGCTCCGCCAAATTTACGTACAATCAGTCAAGTGTGCTGCCGTGAGCATGTTTCGCAGACCGAAGAAGACAAATTTCTTTAATTTTAATTTTTCACAATATCGATGCTGAAAAATTAAGAGGAGAGAAAAAACATTTTTTCACGTAAGTAATATACAGATGTAAGCAAATGAATGCTATCTCGAAAATGGATAGCGGAATTAATTCAAAAGTGATCTACACGAGTTATGAAATTGTGCCAATGGCTCGTTTCTTCCTAAAGGAATATAATTCTACATAAAATGATTTTGTAGAAAGGGGCGTGAGTGTCGCTTCCCCGTTTTCGCCACGTTTCGTGCCTAGGTCAAGCTATTTATTTCTTCATACGACTAGCCTGATATTCTATCCGTGTAAAATAGATAGTATCCCTAAGAAAGCAATCAGTTTTGTCCAAACCTTTTTCCAACACAGAGAGATGGTCTGATAACAACTATCATGCAGCTTAATGATCATTTCGACATTAGTCTGTCCAAGAAAAAATTCCCACACTACCTCAAATTCATGAAAAGTACTAACCCGTTTCTTAATTGAATAGAATAGACTTGTGTGAGTTTCAGAGGGACAGCTCTCTGCGAACTTTCCCTTGCAACGTCACTCTAGTTGTTATGTCACAAATAATCATAGTAATCGAAGGAACACCACCTACGTCTCAGAATTATGAAGTGTATTTAGTTGCTTTGTTTTGTGCTGCCAAAGGATTAAAGAAAGACAGGAAATTATCTGATTATTGCTTTTTTGATTTCCTATTTTAACACTGTGAGGTTGTTGCACTACTGGACAAATGCAGCTGGAAAGAAACTAAATTTCACAAGTGAACCCAACTTATCTCGGAAATATATTTTATCAAGCTATATCATAGGCAAGTCTATGGGATAGCATACATGCCGCAAAAATGTTTCAAGTTTTCTTTGCATTTATTTGAGCGGTCATGAATCTAATTTCTTGAAAGAACGTTTCATTATATTATATAGTGTATGTTTAGTGGCAATCCGACAAACTCAGTTCAAAGGGAAGGGAAAGAGAACAGAAAATTTCACTGAGTAAAGGTGCATAGCGTTAGCCACTCCCTTGCATAAAAATTTTCTGGATGCTTTGTAGCTTGTCAAAATCAGTGGACCTGAAACTTTAGCCTGCTTTTCTTCAAAAAATTTTCCATCATTTTTCAAGAAGAAAATTAAGTCTCTGACAAAATCTTGTACATTGTATAGGTAGCTCCCGAGCTCCCTCTCCTCTTCATCGATCACCAGTTTTACACGTTAAAGGCACCACTCGGAACAAGTCGAAAAAAATCAAGAGAAAAAATAGTGACTGTTTGCAGAGGGCTGAACTGTTTTTTGGTTAGAAAGCTATAGGCTGTCTCAGTGAGAGTGTCACACCTCTAGGGGCTCAGCAGTGAATGAGCGTTGTAAAGACGTGGAAAGTGCCCAGAGGTTCATAAAGTGCGCAAGGCCGAGCGAGGCGGTCGCGAGGGCCCCAACCGCTCGTGCTGGGACACTCACTGGAACAACCAACACGTCTTGAGTTAGCACTATTGTTTTGCGAATATCGACAATGACCCTTCATATATCGGCTTCGATCTGCATGATATGCCAACAAAACCTCTAAGCTAGGAAGCGTGTGAGTTACTTTCTACAAATATTCACTTAGTTGAATTGAATTCAAGAAAGGTCACAAATTTCCAGAGGTTTTCAACCAGCGTATTGGTTTACATACTGCCATAATCCCCATAAGTGCTCTTTTTTCCTTTGTAGAGGACAATGATCAAATCTGCTTATATAGGAAATAATAACAACAAGTGGACCACCTCTTCCTGGTCTTACCGTCTTACACAACAGTGCAGAAAGCTTTTCGACAACAAAAAATAAAATAAGAGCAAGTAGCGCTAGCATAAGTTCATTATGAAATGCATGTGTGACGAAGCTTCTAGAGATGTTTTTCAGAGCTGAAGAATGTTTGATGAGGTTGCATAATTCCGAATTGCTGCAAGCACAATCCTACGCATGCTAGTGCTTTCCCTTTCAAACTCACTGACCATAAATGAAAAGCACTATTTTTGGCTGATGTAATAATGAAATCAGCGGTAAGGAGATTAGAAAATTAGTACGAGTCCTGATGTTTGGCTCAATGAAAGGTAAACTCAGTGATCTTCCTCGCCTTTTTTTGCATACGTAAGCCCAGAGCTTTTTGACTGAGAGAGGTGTTACTACAAATAAAACAATAACGCTACACAACACACTTTGTACCTCGAAAGTCGTGATTATATAATTATGCATAAAATGCGTGTTACTTATCCTTGAGCGGCAGAACTATCAAAAATTTAAAAAACATATAATTCAATAGAGCAAAGCAAGCCCTACAAGATGGTATTCAAACAGTCTTAAAAAGTTATACATGGAAATTTAGGAAAAAGGAATGTAAAAATTTTCTAATACCCAAAAGGCGGAACTCTGTTTGTAAAAATCCCACAAACCTCCAACCTTGCTCACAAAAATTACTTGCGTCAGCTATGCATATGCACTGTTGTATTTTTTTCTTGAAGTTGAAAAAATAAAATTTAGCATTTTCTAGAAAAATCAATGGATAGTCCCAACATAAATAATTCCACAGTACAAATCCACTTTGAAAGTGTAACAATGAATTTTCAGCCTTTTCTAGCGTCGAGAGATATCAAACTCAACATTGAAACTCTCGAAAAAGGCGACATTTTCGACTTTTGGACCTACAATTTTTCAGTTTCCATTTAAGAAAGAATACGGCAAGTGTATATGTATATCTAATGTGTGTAGTGTATGCTTCACCAAGTTTGGAGTTCGCAGAACCTTTCTAAACGGATATGTGATTATCACGTGTTCAAAATTTTCTAGATTTTTTCCGCAAACTTCACGGAGGTCGGCGTTTTGCAATTTTTGTATATTATCTTATACAGCTTACTCTGCTCTAATAAACGACGTAAGCTATATAATTTTATATCTTCCCCGCCGCTTCAGAAAAAGGAACATGCAAAAAAACAACCAAATAGAAGATATAATGTACATGATAGATTCCTTACTTAACTCTAGTTACCTTTGTTATTTGGGTAGAATTTATCGTCAAGTCAAAGGGATTCCACAGGGAGCATCCTGTAGCCCCCAAATAGCTGACCTAACATTAGCATACATGGAATTTGATTACATTAAAAATAGAACAGGTTTCTTAGCTAGGGCAAACACACTTGCTTTCAATAACACATACAGATACATTAATGATATTTTACATCTGTCAGCAAATGTAAAGGCTTTTGAGGATTCATTGCATGATATTTATCACAGTTCTTTGACAATAGACAAGACTAATACTAACGTCAATGAAGCTACCTGCTTGGATTTGCACATAAAGATTAGAACAGATGGCGTTAGTATTAGCTTGTATAACAAAACGGATGACTATAACTTCGGAGTTATAAGATATCCACATGGTGTTCTGATATACCTAGGTATATATTGAAGAATACCTTGGTAGGAGAAATAATAAGAATCTATAGGACTTGTACTGAATACCCTAGTTTTAAAAATAGAATATTACAGTTGGGAGTTATCAACAAATACAATGGATGGGATGAAAAACAGCTAATCAGCACGTTTTGCAAATCATTGATACATCGTCCCTACGTCTTACGCAAGTATGGTTTTGAGGTATCCCTTTTCTTACCGTTAGTTCATGAACTAAGGGAAGCCTTCAGTTCTTTTGCAATATAGACAGCTCGATTTATACACCGAATGGGATACCAGCCTGTACTTCTATCCATCTGTTCGCTTTAATCCCATAGAATAGACGAGTTAGTCTGTTGATTAGTTAGCATGCTCTACAAACCAGTGATCTATTGAGCGGGAAAATTTCAAATTCAAAAAGTACTAGCGGATATCTCTTGACTGATTATTGTTACTTGATTGGACTTGCTGTGTGGCTGTTACCTTATTCTCTCTAATACTCATCCATCCTACATTCTTTTGCACTTCCTTGGGAACTACTGATGAAGGGGCACCAAGGAAGTCACATACCCGGTCTAGTTCTTAGCCCCGAAACCGATTATGTGTGGAAAATAATTGATCTCTCTCCTTTATCATGAATGTTAACACATTGATAATAATTTTCTTGATATCACAGTCTTTTTATGCATCAATTTTAATTTTAGCCAACCTAATAGCATGCGAAACACTCTAAATTATAATACAAGCTAGGATCATCTATAAAGAAACATCTGATTTCATTTCTCTCTTTCAAAAATATGGTCTAGCTTATGTATATAAGGAAAGAGGTCTCCATAAAGGTGCCCGTATTCCTTAATGAAGAAAAACAGCCTAGTTTTTCTGTTAGTGAGAATTTTTAGCTGTGTTTTTTCTTTTTTTCCTTTGATGCACATTTGCGGGAAGGTAAACATGAACATATATCACTAGAGCTAGCGAACATTTAGAAAAGAAAAAGCAATAGTTGTTGACATTGCAGAAGCGAAACAAAAAGACATTATGAATGCTGATGCACGTATTGTAGTTTAGTCATATTACAACTTAGGTTTGCGTTCAAATAACTCAATAACTTGTAATTTCTTGAGCTTCAGAAAAAGTGTTAACTCTACATAGAAAGCAGCATGTGACAATACATTTTATTTAAGGGGGAGGAATGACAGAGAATTTTTTAGAGATTTTAAGAGAATGCAATAAAAAAGTGGCATCAGGAGCACCTTCTGATAACTTTTTAAGGTGCGTTTCAAGCTCTTTGCAGGCCTATAATTCAAAACTTTGAAAATAAGTCAAACAATTGAAGATTTTTCTTTAGAAAGCTAACACGATTTTTTTCGAAAATCAAAAAAAATGTCCTACTTATTTACAAGTAGAAACAATTTGATTGTACAATTTTATTGCTCACGAGGCTACGTTTAAAAAAATTGGGATCCATTCTTGAGAGCTTCTCCCCCACTCGGCGACCATTGGAAGCACCGTAGCATGACTGTTTTGAATTAGAAAAATTAATTGGATCCTTAAGGATCTTCAGTTTGCAAAAACGATTTCTTGAGTCCTTTGAGGCCTTAAAGTTTCTAGTTTTTTTTCCTTACAGCCTTATTACTTTGCGCAACATGTAAACATTCTGTGTTCTTATCCAAATTGCATTTTCACGCACCATTGAGAGTGCGTTGTTGGCATCATGAAACGTAATGATGATACATCATAGTACTTCTTTAATTCCAGAAGTTTGAGTGCTGAATGGAAAGGATGGCTTGTGCAGTCACGAGGAGAAAATTGTATGATTCAAAGGATACCTCATTTACTCAAAATAAAGGAATCCCCAAAACGCACTCAGATTGAATCTGCTGAAAAGTATAATAGTTTTGATTCTATCCAGCCAGTAAAACGTTCGAAACAAAATGTTCTGTGTTGTAAAGGATTGTTGTATAATCATTTATTAACACATAAGAAAAAAATAATGTTGCGTGCTTTAGGGAAGTAAAAGACAGCCTTGACGAATAAGCCTAAATTGCTTTCACAGACCAACACCATCGTGATTTAATAGTCACACCAGATTTGTTTATATCTATTAAGAAAACCTCACATCGTTTTTCGTCAACTGGACGTATATTGAAGCAGGCAAACATTGCAAATTTCAAAATTGCGGCTAGGTATAAAAAGTCAAAAATTGATGGGAAGAGGGAAGCTGAATTATCAAAAAATGCTTACGCATACTAATAATAACAGCATTTTTTCTTCCAAAGAGAGCTTGAGGAACAGAAAATCTCTTTTAAATCAGTTTTTACAAATTGTTTTCAATTAGATTCTCTTCAAAATGTATCAATTACAAACTATATTTCAGACGAAGATTTTGATGCCTGGGGTGTCACAATTTTTTGATCACAAATTCGTTGCCCACATGCAGACACCTTTCACAAGATTTTATTTCGTGTTTTGTAGAAGTCATACATCTCTCACAAAAACTGGGACTATATGATAGTACAAAATATACTCTGCAGGCTGCGCTCAGATTTTTTGAAAAAGATTTGGATACATACATTCAGTTGCGCAACTGAATGGACTCCGCAACTTGCGGAGCAGAATATGAAGGTACCAAAATCCTTGCTCCTTCCAAACTAGTCTAATTCTTTTAATTCTCATTTATTATACAGAGACCTCCGACTTCTTAAAGTGGCTTTTAGAGCACAATGAGTATTCTATTACTTTTTTGAGAATAAACTCAACACTAATTTTGCATGATCAAGCTGCAGTTTTGGCTCCGGTGATTTTGGTGCACCCTGTAGAAATTGCCTCTTCTTGAATCTTGTTGACAAAAGATAAGCTAACACGCCTAATCAAAACGCGAGGTCTGAGTAATCTAAACCACAAAAAAAAACTTTGTCTACCATGAAAACATATTTTTTATCCTCTCCTGAATAGGCAAGTCATCAGAAAGCAGCAATAAGTTCTAAATAGTTGATTAACCAATTTGTATTAGCGCATGATCGGACAAGTCTCATTGGGTTTTTGTAACAAGGGGCAGAAACAACGAACTGAGTCATAACTAAATTCCACGGCAGAAAAGTTGAAGCATAATCATTCATTGAAAATCCAGAGCAAACATTCATAGACATTCATTCATAACATTCAAAAAACTCAGCCCAACAAATCATTGCCTCAGCATAAGTCCTGTGCAATTCTTAGCAGATAACCACAAAAAATAGAAAAAATTCAATTAAGAGTTGATCCAAAAATTACTTTATGACAAGTATATGTAAAAGTAAAGCTGAACGTCTATCTGTTGTACGTATGTTCCGTATAGAAATAGAAAATTTCATTTCTGGACCGATCTGGACCAAATTTGGCTCACATACACTAAGGGGCGCAGCGGGTGTCGTAAGCAACTTGTCGTCATTGATCATCATCAATTTTATCAATTTTTATCATTTGCAATGTTTGAACGAGGCTGGGAGTAGAGACGAGGTAGATAAGTGAGCATGCCATTATAGTATATCATTAAAAGGGGTGAGTGAAGAGCTGGGTTTGCCAGTAGTGCTGATTAAAAAAAATTTGTAAACCCAAGCATGTTTGAAGAGCAATCATTAGTTTGAATCTTTTCACAGAGTCTTGCACACCAAATCATGGTTTTTTCCTTTGTAACAACATCCTTGCTCCTCGATAGTGTCTCGTTAACTCTTCGGCCAAATAAATAAATGTGTTATTTATAAACTCTAGACAAAAAATGAAGAAAGCGCCTGAGAAGGAGAAAACGATATTCATGAAAGGAATGATCTATGTTCTGCATGATTTCTCCTGGTGGACTTCAACACATGGAGTGCCTCACATAGGGCTCGCGAACGCTCGATGGCTTAGGTGAACGAGAGAAGATTTTTGGTTGTTTATGTGACAATGGTGCTTTTTCAGAATCTTCTGGATATTCGTTGTTCTAGCATGCCTCGGTGGTTTCATCTGGCAGCTTACAGTTCTCCTCAAAAAATACCTTTCATACAGTGTCAATACTGAGACCGCGGTAAGTTAACTGATCCGAATAGAGCTGATTTCGAGACTTCATCTATAAAAAATCAACTTTCAATTCATCTGCACTAGAAATTTGCAAACAGGAATATTTAGGCATTGTTAATTGAAGCGATATGTATATACTTTGCATCTTACAAGGGAACCGTGTCGAGTCGAAGTGGCCTTTTCAGATGAAACCCATACCCCTTTGAAGAGCATCAAGCGGTGATTCCAAATGTGCTTTCCAAATCTCCCAAGCGCCTCTGACGCCAAGTTATGCTCGTTTTTCAGGTCAAAAAATTGAACGCAAAACTGAAGCAAAATCGCCCAAATTCGCTGAAATGGTCCAGTGTCAAGTATCAGAGCTGTTTATGCAATGGATACATTTTATTCAGTATGCTAATACTCAACATTGCTTTATCTGAGCGCTGGAAACTTTGTAACAATCAAATTTGCCTAAATTTGCATTCATTTTCGTTCCGAAGAACGGTCATAACTCGGCGTCCAGAGGCGCTTGGCAGATTTGGAATCACCGCTTAATACACTTCAAAGCAGTATGGGTCTCATCTGGAAAGGCCACTTCGACTCGACACGGTTCTCTTGTTAGGTCTTATCTCAAATTACGGCACTTATTCGTTGAGAACTCTCAAATCTTAGTAAGTATTTTTTGTAGGGGAATCTACTGTTGTTGATAGATACGAGGGGTATTCGATATGCTGACAAAAATACTGTTCCGTTCTTTGTTAATGTCTTGTTATGATCTTACAACAAAATTATATAGGAGGTCCCAGAAAAATATGCCTACTGTTTGATTGTAAGTAACTCTCTTGTAATGAAGTGTTTCGAGAAACTTTAGGTACCGTTTTGTAGAGCGAGGTTACTTAGATTTAGATTTTTACTTAGATTTATAGTCTGGAGCGAATCATCGATCGCTCTTCATTATTATAGGATTACGGTAAGAACTTCCAGCAATGGAACCATGTGAAATATACCACCTAACAAAGGTTTTATCAAAATATGTGAAAAATCGTGTACTAGGGTATTCGCACATGCTGATTCCACTTAGCAACTTTTTACGAGTGTTTCCAGCTTTTTTGACGGTGTAACCACATCTCTGGCAAGTGCTGGGAAATCAGTTATGGCGGTTTACATGGGATAACTTAGAAAAGAAGCATCACAGTAAAATAGGAACTTCAAATTCGAAATCAGCGGCTCACATTACCGCAGTATAAGAGTTTTTGGCTTGTTTGGTTTTGTTTCGGGGCAGAATATAGCCTTCAATGGCCTAAAATCCTTGTCGAAGTTCGTACGGTAATCCTACAGTAATGAAGAGAGGTCGATGATTCGCTCCAGAGTGTAAGTCTAAGTTTAACCTCACTCTACAAGACGGTACCTGAAGCTTCTCGAAACACTTCATTACAAGAGAGTTATTTACAATCAAACGTAGGCACATTTTTTGGGACACCCTGTATATTGGATCCAGCTAAACAACACAACACATTAATTCTTTACTTGATGAGTAGATATGATCCTGGTGATTAGTTGGCCAAATAATCCACCTAAAGCTTTGGCGAATTTGAAGATTTCTTTTTTTACATATACATTTTTTTCGTGAGAAAAAACCCTACCTTGTAAAGTAGCACTTTTATGAACAAATTTCCCAATAACTCCTTCGGGCAAAGTTGAGGCTTTCAAGCTCTTGGTTGTGTAATGTGGAGTGCTAATGTCTGACCATAACAGTCAAAGATTAATTTATCTGAAACGTCTCGAAATTTGACCTTTGAATACATTGACTTCTGAGACAGTCATTGCAGCTTCTTTAGAAAGTCCGGAAACAATCTCGACAGTCTGCTCTTTGACTCATATGGTTAGAGCTCCGTATAGGTGGCTTATAAGCAAGCTGGATATCATTTTTGGGACAAAAAGCAAAGCGGATATAGTTTTTGTGGAAGGAAAAACAAACTTAGATTACATTTTTTTGTCCATGTTTTGTTCTTTCGAGGATTGTTTAGTTAATGGCTTAGGGTCAAAGGAAACTTCATAAAATCTAGAGAAAGTCAAGGGGGACTTCATTTTTGTTATTTTTGGAAAGCCTTTCCGTGCCCAGCCCTGTGTGGTAGCGATCAAAAGCTTACTTCTGTAATTCCAGAATAATCATCAAGATGTCACCACAACATATAAGTTTATTCATATGATGTTTGGGTGTGATAGGGTAAAACGCAACTTTCAAAATGAACATGGACCAAATAGGCTGAGCTTGATCCTTATGTAGAACCAGGATGTTTTTGCTTTTGCTCTACCTTTTGCGTGCCATCTTTACTTGATTCATAGCATGAAGGTGGCAAAAATACTTCCGATAGAATTTTGTGTCTCCATTATTTATCTATTGGGTTAATTATTCATTATTCATTTGTGAGTATTTTCTCTATAGCAGAAATACTATGCGTGGAAATCATGCCGAAAAAATTGAGAAATATCTCCAGATCCATAACAGGGGCGTGAACTTATTGAATACACTTCAAAAGGGATCAAAAACAAAACGCTATCGTGAAACAACTCTTGAAATGAAGCTCGCTTCTCCGCGTAAATTCATAGTTTATCTGCTTAGTGCCAACAGAGCTTTCTAGAAAAAAATTTCGGTAAATAACAAGCAACTATGTCATTTTTATAACATTTCACACTCGCAATTTTCCATGTTGTTTATCTTGGTTGCTCGAAAGTAAGTATGGACATAAGAATGAAAACATCACCAGAACATATTATATTGAGCCCAACTCCCAGAGTGCTCTGAAAACAATCGAAAAAACGTAGTTCCTTCAGCTCCACTTTTCCGAACGAGTATTTCCGACTGTCACATTGTGCCATCTGAACCCATGGAAGAAGGAGGAAGTAATGAAAGCCGAGCTGAAAATGAAACGTTTGGTAAGTGAAAACTTATAGGAGGCAAGGTTACTCTTGAGAATCAGCAAAACGATTACAGGTCGAGGCATATGAGAATCTGGGAACAAATAGCACTGAGTATGGCTTTAGTGATCGACTAGATGGTGATCGTCAACAAAGAGCAGCAGCTCTCACTCTTATGATGAGCGAGAGACTCCACAGCAAACCTAGTGTATGAAGAATTTCTGAACAAGATTCTGAATATGAAGATTGTTCTAGAGCTCAAAAATAGCCTACAATTATGGAGACCTTGTGATCAGCTGCACTTACAACGCCAAACTCTGCGAACTCACGTAAGTTGCCTTCGTCCAAAAAGTTCTATTTTGAGATTTTGGACAACAACAGGATTTTTTTGAACATAATCAAGGAATACCTTTTCTAAAATAATTTTGGTAATGAGACTGAACCAACCAAAAGCTCATCCACTCAGATCAAACAATTGCTTTTGTGCAATTTTTCTGGCTGGCTTTCACATAGCTAGTAGCGACGTTTAGCCGTCCTAACCAAGTTTCACTCTTTATTTGCTCACTTCTCATACAAAGCAGAATCATTAGACATATTGGAAAAGCGAATTTGTGTAGTAAACACTTTCGAGATGAAAAGTGAAATCAGATACATAGTAAGGTTCATTGTTGGAATTATCAAATTCTCAAAAAAATATTTCTGTGAATTTAGAGACTTTCGCAATTTTTACGACTCCACTTACGGTGTTTGCCAGACGTTTAACTTCAAAGGCAATTACACGTCGTCGAAAGCTGGTCCCCTGTTTGGTTTGAGAATGGTAATCCGCACAGATCAAGCTAAATATCTCCCCTGGACGGAAACAGCTGGCATGGTGATAGCGATCCATGGAAAGGTTCGACTATTTGTATGTTATTTCAGTTCATAATCGCCAGCAGGCTTTTGGTCTTTATGCTGTACACTGCACATTCGCAACAACTCTAGCGCTTAGAGCAAGAAATTTTGTAAATTCTCACTAGAACAGCTTTGCTTGAAAAGCAGCTCTAGTAATAACATCCATTTTTTCTCCAGACATTCACCAGAATAAGTGAGGCTATTAGCTAAAATAGTAGTAACCGTGAGAGAAAAAATAACAAAAGCAATTCATGCGACCAAAAACTAATATCCTCGGTGGCAGCTATCTGGAGCGGTACTTATCAATCTTCCTTGATCGGGCACTGTTTCACCATTATAAACGGTTCGGGTTGTGGGCGCCCATTCGTAGCGGTGAAACAGCACTCGTGTATTATCTTCTGTGTCTTCTTGTGAGCCGTACCCGAGATTGTTAAAAAACTTTATTAGGCTAACGTTTCGGCAGATCGCCTTCTTCAGAGCCTGAAATGGGTAATACGATCTGCAATCCATTCGACAACGTCTCTGCAGCAGAGTGAGCAAAGCGCCAAGACTTAGGTTTGATCACTAGCTCAGCTGGTAGCATTTAGCCAAACACTCACCTTTTGGGTTAGCCGAAGAGCTTTTTGACGCGAGAGCGAGACGAATAATGACCGCTTGAGGGACCACTATTTATAGCGAAAAACTAGGTCAGAAGAGCTGACCTAGGTAAGGTGCGAGTTCACGCGTGATCGCCAGGCATTCCTTCTTGCGATTCAGGCTACACAAGTTTTCCCTGAATATCTGTTTTTGATTACCAGAAGTAACAAATTCGACTATGGTTTTGTCACGCCAAGAGCGTGGGTGACAAACGTGAATCAAACACTTAAGTAGTATTAGGGTTGCGTAAGAGGGAGACTTATGAAGCTGGAGATGTCTGAACTCATGATCAACATTTATGTTAGCTATATATCTCCGTGTTTCTAGCTCCTTCTTGACTTGGCAGTATTTCCAGGACGAGATGCCATACCCGGATGTTCTCGGTTACTTCGCTCCACCAGGAACAGCCACGTCGATCGGAGTTCGATTCGTTAGCACTGAAAGGTTGCCAAACCCATACGGAACATGCACTACTCAGACAATGCTGGACGAAAAGCATTACAAAGGACCATATGAGGTTACTTTGAGTGCACATTTTGTGAATTTCAAAAGTTTTCAAGTTTTCAGGTGGAGTCATGCTTTCGGAACTGCTTGCAGGAAAAAATCATTAAAAACTGTGGTTGTTATGATCCAGAATATCCACATGCCAATGGTAGCACCATATTGAGTTGTGACAATACGAATGACACACTCTCAAGATGTGAGAATTTCTATATATCTAAAATCTCGAAAATTCTTGTAAAGATATATTTGCGTTTTTGTTGAATGAATCCATCACAACACCATATACTGAGCTGAAGTGACCAATCCTAAGATCCCAAATGTTTTTGGTTTTACGTAAAATAAGCAGGAGAATAATAGTTGAACCAAAATGCACCTATCTTTCTCCTTGATCACCAGCGTAGTGGTTTGAGTTCATCAGCCAGCTTGAAGTTTAGATCAACTTCAGTTTTGAAAATAAATCTGAATGGACAACAAAAATCATTGGAACTTTCTGTTGTGGAAAACCAATCCTTAGACATGCAAGCGTGCAAGCTACGAAGCACATAAACAGAACATGCAATATCAGAATTTTGAAAATGTGAGCCACGCGGTGAACTTCATACATTAGCAAATTCAAAAAACTTCTCTAGAATAACATGCCTGATGTCGAGCCCTCAAAATGTTTTACATAGATTTTTAATTTTACGTACTCAGAAAATGACTAAATAACGTTTTACTTACATACAACAACTTTGAACCAGGATTTATTTTTTTTGTAGTGGACTGCATCGAGCGCATTTCGAATGCTGACTCCTCGGTCTTCGACATCATCAAGGAATGTAATTGTCCACAACCATGCAGGTGAGTATTTTAGTCACGTGTGATTATCATAGCTGAATAAGTCATCCCATTTCGTATTACTATCTGAACGAACATACGACTAACAATAAGCACAATGCAAACAGCGTTTTAGGGTCGAATCATACGCCGCAACCGTTTCTACAGCGAAATGGCCATCGAAATCTTTCAAAGTGAGTGGGTTTGGGTGAGGTGTTGTATTAGGTCGTGTAATAAGTTCTGTCCCATTTTTTGTTTAAATTTTTTCTTGACAGCATTGACTATATTTGAGATAAAGCGTATATGCTTTTGAAGTCTGCTCTACAGGCTCATATGCATCAATCAGCAAGATAGCAGGGAATTGAAAAAGATTTTTATCATTGAAATAAAAAATCCAAAGAGCCAAAATACCAATTTTCGACATCTTTTTTCCTCCAAATTTTTCTCGATTTTTATTGGTAAAACTTATGAAACAAGCTTGACAACAACCAAAACAATCTACTGAACTTTGGCACTTATTCTATCACTGTTTGCGCATGTTCCCTTCCTTCCACCGGCTATTTAGTGACATTTTTTAAGAAGGCGGCAAGGCAAGACTTTGTCACGGCGATGTTCGCCGTCTCGCGTGCCCAAGCTGTGTGGTTCCCAAAGTTCGAATTTTGAGTATTTAACTACGAAATCTATAATTTTTAAGCCACAAACCATCCCTTCTGTCATTTCTGGATGATTCGCCTATCGCCTTCCCTCAGGATGCCTTCAGATGATGCCCAACACCAACGTTGAAAAAGCGTTAGGAAAAAGACTTCACTAAAGTCTACAGAAATGATTTTTGAAAAGTTTCAGCACTCCTTAAGCGCAGTAGAAGCTAGAGCATTCTTTGCTTACGTGTAGCAAATTCTTCGAGCTTATTCGTAGGATTCGCAGAAGTGGATATGTATTTAAACTAAGAAACTGGATCGAGATACCTTTATTGAATCTCTCTTGTTTTGTGACACATATGGCCATCAAAGCCAAAAACACGCAGCTCAGTTTTAGCCAACTGAATGCATGTCGGAAGCAGCAGATCTCCCATGGAAACAGCTAGGAATGGACTGTATTGAATGGTATAACACCAACACCTTGCTCGTTGAGATTTACTACGAGCGCATGAACCACCAAGTGCTCACCGAATCTCCTTCCTATTCGGTGCCCATTACTTTCCTATTTTTTTTTCGAGGCACTTTGTCACTGAAAGTTTCAGCTCGTCAATCTGGTCTCGGATATAGGAGGACAGGTCGGTCTCTTCTTGGGAATGAGCATCATCTCGCTGCTAGAATTTGCGACTCTTATTTTACTGCTCTGCTGTTACTGCGCCACACACAAAAGCAGGAAAAGAGACATCGAAGAGATTGAAAATCGCAGCAAACTGTCGACGGTGAGAGCTTTTTTATGCTGATAACTGCAAATAAGCTCGGAATGTTAAGGAGGCTGAGAGAAACAGGAAAGCAGCCAATAAACGGAAGGGGATTTATGGAGAGAGCGACGTTACCCTTCCTCCTCCAGTCATCTCTGCGAATTGATTAACCAGTTTCCCGTACAATAATAGTTATAATAACAGTTGTAATAATTATCGCAGTGAGTTTTAAGGTAACTGAATAAATTATAATTCTTCATTTTTTGAAAACCAGCACGCGATCATGAATGCATGGGCTGGAAACACAGTCTCATACAGTTGTATCGGTGGAATCCGGCCAAAATTGCGGGATTTGCAGGATCTGCGGAATTGAGTTATAACTTCTTTTGAAACAACTTTATCTGAAATCTGCGAAAAGCTTTAGCTTCAGCTTGATGAGAAAGCTTTAGCATAGATCATGCCGTAGTCCATGGTGATACGGTAGACATATGATACTACTTTTTTATTTTCCAAGTTTGTTCATTTGAGCAACAATACATGTTGATAATCTCATAACACATGACAGTACAATGCATTGCACCATGGAAAACGGGCATAATGTGCGCTAGAATATTCGTCTCATCAAGTTGAAGCCAAATCTTCTTGCAGATTCCAAATAAAGTTATTTTAGAAGAACTTATAACTAAATCCAGCGAATCCCGCAATTTTGGCCGGATTCCACCGATACAACGTGTTTACATCGAATACAGCAGCAACGCAACAAATTTGGATCCTATTCAACCTATTCAAATTCCTTTAGGACTATTATTGGGACTGTATGGGTACTTATAGGTGTTTTATATATCTTCAGTTATAGGTTGGCCTAAGATAACGCAAAATCCGAAATGCTGTTTTTTAACGCTGGACCGGTGGATATCACAATCACATCAGAATTGAAGGAATGATAGTAATGAAAAATGTATTGATTAAATCCACTACCGAAGTTCCAGCCAAATTTCGTATCTCCGTCTTTTACCTTACAAATACCTTAGGGATAAAGAAACTCCATGAATTATTACCTCTTACATTTTCATGTTTCCTAAAGTCTAGAAAACACGATCTTCAAGATTAGCCTGGTTTCAAAAGTAATACAAGTCAGTTTTTCAGTGTCTGTGACAAATTTGTATTCCCTCTCAGTCTAGGCTAGAAATAGTGGATCAAGAAGTGCTGCCAAAATTTCAACTAAAGCATTTTTCAACTTGTGTATTTCAAGTCCACTGAACACCACTAAGCCAAAACAAGTCGAAGTAATCTCAAACACCTATTGTATCTTCGGGGTTTGTGCTAAAGGTTAATATGATTGGGTGAAAAAGCTTCTTCGGATATAAAGTTGGTAAGGTCAGGCACTATTCCGCAAAGGTCAGGCTGCCTGAACTTTCGCTGCCTTGTGTGCCTCACCTTCTTAACTTGCCTTCAGAATGCAGAGGAGGAAGAAAGGGTCCTTTGGGGTACTTTCAGGGGAGGGGATAGCTTTCGAAGGACTAGTGCCTGGCTTCTTACTCAACCCTGACTTTGACTGCTGGTAAGAGCTTGAGGTTATAACGTCATTCACCGAAGGTAAATCAGCACGTTTATAAACACGACCAGTGCATAAACCTAACGAAACACAGACTATGTGAATAGAAAGACGGACAAGCAATTTATTTTCATCGCATGAACAACAGAGCCAACAAATTTGGTGTGTACCTTCGTGAAGGTGACACATAAAATACGAAAAGTGCAAAAAAAGTGCAAAAAAGTGCAAAAAAGTGCAAAAAGTGCAAATAGTGCAGGAAAGCAAAAAAACAGATTTCTCTCGTCAGATTTCCAAAAAATTTTGCTTCAAAAAAACAGCCTAAAATTGGGTGCAAAGTGCACGAATGGTACGCACACTTACGATTTTGATATATTTAACCATTTGCACGGCCATAGATGGTCAAATTCAAGCGATTCGAATTGCCCCAAGACTGACTTCCACGTGCAGGTACATAGAAATTCTCACAGTTCAGGCTGCAGAAATACCCAAACAAGAGATCACAGCCATTGTGGTTTACCATGTAGCCAAAGGCTGTATGTATTCATTTAACAAATTACTCATCTCTGCATTTCTGCTGAGTATGGAACTTCGAAAGTCAAAAAAGTGATTTTTTGAAAGGCCAGCCATATAAGGTCATAACTGTTTTTGTTCACGTTCAAAAAGTCTGTATAATGAGTATGTGATAGTAGAAGCTTGAAAGTACTCGCTCACGAAAAGTCACAGCTTAAAAAGAGATGTTTTAATTTTATGGAGCTTCGAAGTTGCAGTTCAGAACGAAATTATTTATTAGCCAACCTAATATCTGAAGTAGCCTTAACCATTCTCATTTTGTTTTTTGAGGGCCACCCTAACCTACTGATGGGAGGGCAACCATCGCTGCTCCTACCTGGAGCAATTCGCACGCTTGCAAATTCATTTTAACAGGACATGGGCGTTTACCTAGGCAAGAGCTTCAGTATAATACAACACTGAAGTTTCATCACTTTCAGCCTTGGATAAATGACGTTCAGTTGCTGCTAAAAAGTGCACGATTTTCTCTTTAGAATGCGTCAGATCAAGAAGTTGTTGTTGGATGCTTTAGAGGGATTTACAGCATTAGAATGAACTCCTGACAATTTTCTGAAGTCCCAAAAATCTTCTTCTTTCCTGTTTATCGAACATAAAATATTTCACATCGTGGTGGCCGTTCAAACGCAGCTAAAATCACGTACACTTATCATTACTTTCATTATGAAAGTCAGAAACTCGCAAAAACCACATCGTTATCCGAAAAATGCCATAAAGCCTCAACTCACATGTGCAGTTGTTAATGATGGCGAGTCAATGAACGAAAAATCACGTGAACGATGTCGTATGATGTTGAGCAACACGACCAAGATGGCAACTTTTCTTTATTAACTTCGGCCAACGTTTCGGCGCAATCGCCTTCGTCAGAGCCTAGAAAGTCGAATACATAATAAGGATCCCATTCCTCAGACGTCAACGAAGAAGCAAGACAATTCAATTGGAAGCTAGTACGAAGGAAAGAAACAGAGCCACGGCTGAGCAATACTCACCTTAATCGTTGCATAGGGGGTACTAGGGACCACCAACTATGCAATAACTATACCTCTGCCCTATTTATAGCAATGAGGTGACCTGACCTAGCCTCAGAAACCGCAAAGGGCCTGATACGGCGCGAGTTCGTTGGTTATTGCAATACACTCCTCCTTCCGGTTCATTTTTGGATTTTTAGCGCTGATCCAAAACGCTTCCAAAGTCTTGCGCGATAGGACTTCGGGTTCATAGGACAAAATCGAGACCCCAATTTGTATTTCAGCATTCTCGTGTTGCCGTAAGCGATGACTACCGAGCGGTGTACTGGTCCTTGACTTGTTCAGTCCATCCAGATGTTCCTTAATGCGACAGCAAAGCGGGCGCTCTGTTTCGCCTATGTACGTGTCGCCACATGATAAACATGTGATGATGTATATCACGCCTGCCACCATACAGTCTCCCTCTCTGCCGAATGGACAAACTATACAGCCTGGAGTCAAGCAATTCCGATCATACGCTCTATTCCTGACCAATTGCCTCTTTAGGTTGGGCGGCGGAATATCGACCACTTTAAGCGCGTCTTGCAAACCCGCCTGATTACGCATCGCCGCACCGCGCTGCTTATATAGTCCGAGATGAAGGGCATGCAGCAAGGAATCTTATCCGTGGCGTCTTCCAAGCGAACTCTACTGCTTACAAAAGCACGCGATCTAGGAATACAGCTACTTGTTGTGTACCCATTTGACCTGGCTATTTCTTTGGCTAATGCTAAGGAGTAGGAACGCTCCTGGACACCCCATGAAACTCCAATAGCCGTTCGACACATGTTTCCAATCACGGACTGCTTGACTTTCTTTGGATGCGCGGATAAGTAATGCACTAAAATGTTCTTGCAGCTGGGTTTGCGGTACCACTTTGTTCTATAATCGCCCCGAGATACATGCATGTACGTTGCGGGTCCCACTGATAGAATTGCATGGTTTCTTAACATCATACTTGTTCAGTTGTTGAAGTTCGTCCCAGCTCACTTGTCAAACACCGGCATGCTCCTCGAGCGGCTTCGCAGCACGCAATTGACCCCAGAGTGTGTGATAGAATCATTTGATGTCACTTCACTCTATACAAATGTTTCAAATGATGCTGCGCTGGAAGCTATTTACGAAATTCTACTGGAACATCAGTCCTCTCTCAGCCTGTACGGTTCTTCAGTCAGAAGTATAATGACCCTTGTAAGCGAATGCTTGAACTGTAACGTATTTCGCTGGTCAGGTCATTATTACAAACAGGTCAGAGGACTAGCGATGGGGTAACGCCTTGCGCCTACCTTAGCCATTATCTTCATGTCTAAAGTAGAAACTCCCGTGCTTACTAGGAAGCCATTGTTGTATTGTCGCTATATAGACGACTGCTTCATCATCTGTCCAACCCAGGACGAGATGGATGCTTGCTTCGATCTGCTCAATCAACAATTTTCGCGTATCAAGTTTACACGAGAGAAACCCTGCGATCAATGACTACCGTTCCTCAATGTACAAGTGCATGTATCTCGGGGCGATTATAGAACAAAGTGGTACCGAAAACCCAGCTGCAAGAACATTTTAGTGCATTACTTATCCGCGCATCCAAAGAAAGTCAAGCAGTGCGTGATTGGAAACATGTGTCGAACGGCTATTAGAGTTTCATCGGGTGTCCAGGAGCGTTCCTGCTCTTTAGCATTAGCCAAACAAATAGCCAGGTCAAATGGGTACACAACAAGTAGCTGTACACCTAGATCGCGTGCTTTTGTAAGCAGTAGAGTTCGCTTGAAAGCCACGGATAAGATTCCTTGCTGCATGCCTTTCATCTCGGACCATATAAGCAGCGCGGTGCGGCGATGCGTATATCAGGCGGGTTTGCAAGACGCGCTTAGGGTGGTCGATATTCCGCCGCCCAACCTAAAGAGGCGATTGGTCAGGAATAGAGCGTATGATCGGAATTGCTTGACTCCAGGCTGTGTAGTTTGTCCATTCGGCAGAGAGGGAGACTGTATGGTGGCAGGCGATATATATCATCACATGTTTATCATGTGGCGACAC